TTGATTTAAGTTATCAGATATTCAATTTTAACCAAAGAGTTTTCACCAATCGATTAAGTTTTTTTGCAAATGGGGATAGGAAATGGAAGAAAACAAAAATGCAAGCTTAGCGTGTTCATTCAACTCATCAGAGATTTAATTTTACCGAAAAATTTTCATTTAAATGTTGAGTTTTTCTAAAATCCACAATTCAAGGCAAGGCTGAAAGGGGGACTAATTGAATATATGCAGGGTTTAACATATTTGATGATTCAATTTTGTAGGGTTTGCGTATTTGATTCAAATTATCAGAGATTTAATTTTGACCTGAAAGTTTCCACCCATCGGTTAAGTTTTTTTGTAAATGGGGAAAGAAAATGGAAGAAAACAAAAATGTAAACTTAGCGTGTTTAACGTGTTCATTCAACTTATCAGAAATTCAATTTTACTGGAGAATTTTCACTCAAATGTTAAGCTTTTTTATAATTCATAATTCAAGACAAGCCTAAAAAGAGGAACGATTAAATATATGCAGGGTTTAGCATGTTTGATGATTTAATTTTATAAGGTTTAGTATATTTAATTCAAGTTATCAAAGATTCAATTTTGACCAGAGAGTTTCCACCCATCAATTAAGCTTGTCTACAAATGAGGAAAGGAAATGGAAGAAAACAAAATTGCAGGCTTAGTATGTTTATTCAACTTTTTAGAGATTCAATTTTACTGGAGACTTTTCACTCAAATGTTAAGCTTTTCTGCAATCCACAATGCAAGGCAAGCATGAAAAGGGAAACAATTGACTATATGCAGGGTTTACTGTGTTCGATGATTCAATTTTGTAGGGTTTAGTGTATTTGATTCAAGTTTTCAGAAATTCAATTTTAACCGAAGAGTTTCCACCTAGTGGTTAAATTTTTCTGCAAATGGGGAAAGGAAATGAAGAAAAACAAAAATACAAGTTTAGTGTGTTCATTCAACTCATCATATATTCAATTTTACAGAGAATTTTTACTCAAATGTTAAACTTTTCTGCAATCCACAATTCAAGGCAAGTCTGAAAAGGGGAACAATTAAATATATGCAAGGTTTAGCATGTTTGTTGATTTAATTTTGTAGGGTTTAGCGTATTTAATTCAAGTTATAAGAGATTCAAGTTATAAGAGATTTAATTTTGACCAGAGAGTTTTCACCTATCAATTAAGTTTTTCTACAAATGGGAAAAGCAAAATGGAAGAAAACAAAAATGCAGGTTTAGCATGTTCATTCAACTCAGTAGATATTCAATTTTATCAAAGAATTTTCATTCAAATGCTAAGCTTTTTTGTAATCCACTATCCAAGGCAAGTCTAAAAAGGGGAACAATTGAATATATGCAGGGTTTAACGTGCTTGATGATTTAATTTTATAGGGTTTAGTGTATTTGATTGAAGTTATTAGAGATTCAATTTTAACTAGAGAGTTTCCACCTATTGGTTAAGCTTTTCTGCAAGAGCAATCCAAAATCTGAAAAAGCATGAAAAAGGAAAGGAGTAGTGTTATGGGCACTCGCCCATAAGCACTCTTTTCAACACTTATAGAAAATAATATAAACTGATAATCGAGACATAATGGTTACCCATTTATCTTCAACAAGCAATAATGGAACAGCAATGCTACTTGAAGTTTGATAATAAATGCCAATTGTGAAACCATAGGGTGAATTGCCATTCATGTGCTCACATCTTAAAATCCAGTTCAAAATTTCCTTTTCCATGCCGATTGTGAAGTCATTCATGACAAATATGCCTCCCATAACAGGTGAAATAGAAAAACAAAGTTTTAAGGGCAAAAGTGGAAACCTAATATCAAATGACAAAAAAACCACTCGTGACTTGTGAAATAGAGTGAAGAAACTTGGAGGGCAAAAGTGAAAAAAAATAAAGTTACTGTAGCAATGTGAGAAGAGGGCCTTCCACCCATTTACTTATTTGATATTTGATACTGATCCTTCGGTCCAGTTAATGGAAATGAAACTCAACCCATTTTATTCGGCCTCAAAAAGAAAATGTTGGATCTTGGATCAGATCCAAATAAAAACAGGCGTATCGAAATAAGAACAGCCCATCTTACTTGACAGCCCGATTCAGCTCACCGCCGAAGGCCATAGATTTTCCCTTCGGGTCCCCCCGTGTCCCTACCTGTCCAAATTCCCTCCATCATCATTTCCCCCTTTCATTTCCAAAACCCTCATACTCCTTTTATCAATTCATCGATCGTCGGTGAAAGCCTGTTCTCTCGGCGGCCGAAAGTCATGCCGCTCTTCATATCGGACGAAGAGCTCTCCCAGCTCCCTAACGATGTCGGAGCCGTGGCGGAGAGAGCGGACGCTTATATACGTGAGTTGTACGCTGAACTAGAGACAGCAAAGGCCAAGGCCGATGCCTCTGCGATCACCGCCGAGCAAACCTGCTCTCTCCTGGAGCAGAAGTTTCTCTCTCTTTCTGGAGAGTTCGGCAGTGTTCAATCTCAAAATGGCCAGCTCCAGTCCTCCCTCGATGAGCGGCTCGCGGAGCTTGCTCAGGCGCAAGCGCAGAAGCACCAGCTCCACCTTCAATCGGTAAGAATCACTTTAGCTCTCACTTTCTGCATTTGTTAGGTTTGTATATCTTCACCTACGGGTAAATATCAATATTCACGTAAATTTATTGTTTCATGATATGCAGATTGGGAAGGATGGGGAAATAGAGAGGTTAAAGACGGAGGCATCTGAGCTGCATAAGTCAAAGAGGCAATTGCTTGAAATGGTTGAGCAAAAGGATTCGGAGATCAGTGAGAAGAATGCCACCATAAAGAGTTATCTAGATAAAATTGTAAGTTCAGTTGAGTTTTACTATAAAATTTAGGCTTAGAAGTGTTATACTGAAAAGTAATGGCGTTTTGTTGATGATTTGGAAGGTCAACTTGAGTGACACTGCTGCTCAAAAGGAGGTTCGTCTAAGTGAAATAGAGGCAGAATTGGTCCGAGCACAAGCTTCATGTACCCGCCTTTCACAGGTCATTATAATGCTTTTTTTTTTTCTTTTTTTTTTTTGGTTTTTTTTGTGGTTTAATTTTTTCTTTATTGCCTGCATGATTCTCTCTCTTGCAAAAATTTCTAATGGTGGATTTTTGGGGTTTATGTGCACTCCCCCCCCCCCCCCCCTTTGGCAAGCTGATGCCAGTTTCTTAGTCAAGGCTTTTTGTCTATGGGCTAGTCTTTGGATCCTTTCTGTGGTTTATCTTTGTGTTAGTACACGTTTTGAAAACAAGTTATTGTTGTCAAATTTGAATGTTAACAGGAGAAAGAACTTATTGAGAGGCATAATGCCTGGCTTAATGAAGAGTTGACTGCCAAAGTTGACAGCCTCATCGAGCTTCGTAGAACACATGCTGAATTTGAAGCCGATATGTCAGCTAAGCTTGCTAATGTTAGTATATTTAATTAACATTGTTATGCTATTATGGTTATTCTTTTCCAAGTTATACTAATATTTTTTTAATGTTCAAATATGTTTTAAAATTTTCAGGTTGAGAGACAATATAATGAATGTTGTGGCTCCTTAAATTGGCACAAGGAAAGAGTGAGGGAGCTAGAGAATAAGCTAACATCAGTACAGGAGGTCTGATATATTCTTTCTTTGGCATCACAAACGCCCAAATTCTTTTTGCGGGTTGCTTCTATTGCTTAAAAATAGCTTATGTTGTGTTTTTATTTTTACTCTAAAGGAATTATGCTCCTCAAAAGAAGCAGCTGCTGCCAATGAGGAGCGTCTTTCTGCTGAACTCTTAACGGTGAGCTTCTTGAAAACAGTTTTCTTATTCTTAAAAGAGAGTAAAATTCTAATTATTTAAAATTCATATTTATGGAAAATGGAGTTCAACTCAGCACATCAATTCATCTATTTCTTGATACTTTTTTCCACCATGCATGGATTCTCCTTGTAGTTTGTTAGAAGATTTGGGGCTATCATAATGATTATCTATGTTCCTAAGTATCTCAAAAGTAATAAAATGGTTTTGTTTTCTGTTGAAATGGATTGATTCAACGGTTAAAACTGGAAGATTGTTTCATTTTGAGTCCAGTTGTTTATATTTTAGTTTTCTTGAAATTACTGATGCTAGTACCTTAGCATTTAATTGTTTATATTTTAGTTTTCTTGAAATTACCGATGTAAGTACCATAGCATTTAAAGTGTAACTACTATGATAATTTTAGTTGAATTATCATTTAAATGGAATGAGTTGAAAGGTGCTTGCTTCAGTGTTTAATTTTATGCTTTATCCAATATATTTACTGGATTCACGGGATAAATTAGTAGGTCGATAAAGGAATTTGGATTGTGGATTGCAGAAGATCCTGTGTGAGAAATTCATTGGTAGAATCCTGTATCCTATTGTCTTTACAACCCAGGAAAAATAAACAAGTGAGTCTATAAAGGGAGCTAGACTGATGTCTGCAGTAGATCATTTCTAAGAAAATATGGAGAATATTTTCTTGGAAGCTGTCAACGGTGATGTCATAAATTGTATTACTCAATTTTAATTATAATGCAACATCTTAAAGTTTGTTATAAACAATTAAATTGGATTTCTCGTACTAAATGCAGTTGTCCTGTACAGCTTCTTGGAATCTCCTCTTCTTCTTCCTCCCTTTTTTTTTTTTTTTTTAATTTAACAGCTATATCATGTCACTTGCTTTGTTGTGTCTCTTGGAATGTGATGTTTCCCCTCTATCCTAATGATTATATTCGTATCTATTATTTGCAATTATTTACAATTGAATTAAACTCTTATACTGCTCTGTAGGTAAATAAACTAGTTGAATTATATAAAGAAAGTTCTGAGGAATGGTCCAGAAAGGCTGGAGAGCTTGAAGGAGTTATAAAAGCTTTGGAAGTAAGAATCTTGTAATTTAGTACCCGCATTTTGATATAACTATAACACTTTGGTGTTTTGCATGTTAAATTTTACTGTTACATGTAAGCAGACTCATGTAAATCAAGTTGAAAGTGGTTATAAAGAGAGACTGGAGAAGGAAGCATCTTTAAAGATACAATTTGAGAAGGTTTGCTACTCTTTTTGCTGTTATTTTTTTTGTTTGTTTTTGTACATCAAGCTCCTGATCTTTTAAAGTATTCTTCACTGCTCTTCCCATGGAATTGTATTCACAATCTGTTTTGGGAGTGCCATGCATGCTTGAGTTGCACTCTCTTTCAAATAATTTTTTAAAAGCCTCATCAATTGTGTACCTACAATGTATTATGCAATTTGTAGCCATGTGCCTTTTTTGGCGCAAGGAGAAATGAAAGTCTATTGCTAAGGATGTTTAATAATTATTGTTTCTTCCTTCCCTTTCTTCTTAGTCATTATTTTGGGTTATGTTTGTCATTACAGGAGAATGCAGATCTTAAGGCAAAACTTGAAAAATGTGAAGCTGAAATTGAAAATAGTCGCAAAGCAAATGAGTTGCATCTTCTTCCACCCAGCAGTTTCACTACTGAAATGTAGATTCTTTTTTCCTAATGAACATCTTCATTAATGATGGTGTCAACACCTCCTCACTAGATTACATATTTCGGCGTTTAGCGCACTGGTCTCTCTAGTACATACTTCAACAGTCTTTTATTTTAGAATTGTTTGTGCGTTTAAGGTTTTTTTTTTTAATTTTAATTGTTCTGAGTGCATTTGTTTGTACGATGCAGATCGTACAATACCATTGACATTGATGAGGACA